CTGCTCTCAAGAGAAGATAACTCTGCAATACGCAAAGACGGAATAGGCTATAGTCCCAGACAAAAAAAATATCTGAAAACACAGTTATGAGACAGCAGGCTCCGACAAACGTTCGGGCCGTATTCATGAAACTTATCATGCTTAAAGAATGGTTCTGTGTTCAAACCAATGCAACTTTCTTGTTACTCCCTTAAATCATGTAACATAGTCAAAAAGTCAAGTGTAAATATTAAAAACAGTATTTGGCGTAAATTCATTCCAAATATCTTGCATAACATTGACAAAATATGTTATATTTATTAAATAATCACTGGCACAAGAAAAAGTTTGAGCTCAGATCTAGGTTTGAGCATGAGAACGGTTTCATGAATTATGGCCCAGGTCTCGGCTTTAATTTTAATTTTCGCTAACCACTGCAATGCTTCCTCGATACAGGGAAAATTAAGGTTAACAGATTGATACTTATTTCTTGAAACCAAATCATGATTATAAATATCCAACTGACGTCAGATTATATATCAGGGAAAGATAATATATTGACAACCTCTTAACCAAGTGAAATTCTAAACAGGAATCTCCATTTACACCGTACGAATTCTACGAACTATATAAGTGTACACCTTGTTTAATGTGTAAGTTGCGCTGTTACTTTCAACTAGTCGGTTTAGGTCCAAACATAACTGTTGTAACAAGTTCTCGGGTCCCTGTGATCTTGGCCTTTCTAATTGACCACGTGAAAGTAAAGCAATGTCAATTAACTCCAAACTATCAGCCAACAAGATTGCATTAGATAACCTTGGATGACATTGACCTTGTACGGAAATACAATTTTCCACTGCATTTTCTTTTTTTTTTAACTTTAAAGTTATGGAGCTGGGACATCAGCTATAGCTTTCAGTGTTATAGCAAAGGAGAAAATGCATGGCAGGACTGGGATTCAAACCCAGAATCTCCGAACTCTAGACGGACGTCCTTACCAATCGAGCTACTTGGCTACCGGTGATTGATCATGGAATGACATTGACATTTTACGAAATGATGAATAGTTTCTTCCATACATCTGAAACTGTTCTTCAGTATTGACGGCCATGATTTGAACGCAATCTAATTACAAGCAACACAACCAATCAATATAATTTTCAAACCACACCCCCGAAATGTAACACATGCCAATCAAAGTGGCGTGACCTCTCACAGCTAATCAATTTCCCTCCATTCGATTACACGGATATCGCGCATGCGTAAGCATGCATTTGCAGACGTTTCTTTGATGGAGAGACAAAGAAGGCAGCCATGTTGGAAAGTTTCGACTACTCAAAATTTAAAAGAAGCAAAAAGTGGTTTGCAGGAAGAGAAGAGAAAAAGGCGATACCAATGCCGAAGGAAAGTGATAATGGACGTAAATGCATGATTTCTTTTCCAGTTTTCCCCCCTAACAGTTAAAATGTTCTCGGTTTTTGTTGATAAAGAGTTTGCTTAAACTTATCAAAAACGCAGGTTTTAACATTCTGAGCCTTGTCCTCTTTAGGAACAGTAAAACGACGACTTGTCAATTGAAATTTTAACAATTGTGACCAGTTTCAGCGGACTCACTGTTGACCACTTTAATTGAATTCAAATTAATTTTCGATTGGTGAAATACTTGAGATGGTCATATTGATATTTGAAGAAAGATCGATATAGGCACTGTAACGGAAGTACTGTTTATCGAAACATGCTGTATTGATGTAAACACACGCGCAACTGCTCCGTTCCCCAAGACTTGTATCCCGCCAATATCCAAAGAGTCGACTGACCTTGGGTCATTCTAACAATGACGGCCGTACGCTACAATAGGGGTGCGTGTCTTGTGATCAGACGGAGCAGTTTCGTTTGTTTACACCAAAATGCATCACTTTCCTTGTCGTAAACTATGCAGAATGATATATACAAAAATACCATTCATAATTATTGGCAAACTTGTAATAGATATTTCCCGTTTTCATTCTGTCTCAAAGCTTGAAGGCCTTGGCCTGAAATATATATCGAATGTGTTCGTGTTTTAATTTTTTTGGGATCGTGAGCAGAAGGCTGGTCACAATTAACTTTGATCTTGTCAATGGTTCTCGCTACTAATTAACCTTAACGGACTCCTCGATCACCGCTATAAATGATTTCAAATTTAATCTTCATAATTCAAAATGTATGAGAATAGTCAAATTCATATTTCAAGAACGATAGATATAGGCATTGTAATGATATAGAAGTATATTTAGACATGCTGTATTAATGTAAACACACGCGCATCTGCTCCGTTTTTCAAGACTTGTATCCCGCCAATATCCAGAGTCAAATGACCTTGCAATTTGGTCATTCTTACATGACGGTCATACGCTACAATAGGGATGCATGTTTTGCGATCAGACGGAGTTGTTTCGCTTGTTTACACAAAAACGCAGCACTTCCCTTGTCGTATTTCCCGTTTTCAATCTGTGGCAGAGGTCTTGGCATGAAATATATATCGAATGTGTTTGTGTTTCACTTTTTTCCAGAGTTCATGAGCAGAGGGCTGGGCACAATTAATTTTAAACTTGCCAACGGTTCTGGCCACTTAATTTAAACGGACTACTTGACTACCTCTGTAATCGACTTTAAATATGAATTCTTCATAATCCAAAATGTCTGATAAATTGTTATTTCAAGAATGATTTTTATAGTTATGAAGTTTATTTAGACATGCTGTATCGATGTAAACACACACGCAACTGATCCGTTTCTCAATAGTTGTATCCCGCCAATATCCAAAGAATCGGGTGACCTTGGGCCATTCTCGTACGTTACAATAGGGATGTATGTCTTGTGAACAGACGGAGCAGTTTCGTTAATTTGTTTACACCTGAATGCGGCACGTCCCTTGACTTAAAATTTGTATAATTAAATCACACACATGATAAAATTAAGACCACCATACTCACTTATTGCTGAAATTGAAATACCCTCCTTTCGTCCATCTTCCGAAGAAGTTTTGGCGTGAAGGACCGGAATAAGTTCGCGTTCGACTTGTTTAGGGACTGCAAACACGCTGTTGTAAACTTCCCAAAGAAACACCCTTACATTTTCATTGACTCCTCGATGGCCTCATTTATTGATATCAAATTTTCTTCATAATTCAAAATGTTTGAGAATAGTGAAATCGATAATTCAAGAAAACTGTGAACTGTTATGGAAGCATGTTTAGACGTACGTTATCAATCTAAATAAACGAACAACTGCTCCGTTTCAAAAGACTTGTATCCCGCCAATATCTATCCAGAGAGTTGAATGACAGTGTCATTGTTACAATGACGGTCATACGCTTCAATAGGGATGTATGTCTTGGGAATAGACAGGGCAGTTTCGTTGTTTACACCAGAATGCGGCACATCCCTTGACGTAAAATTTGCACACACAAAAAGCACACACTTGATAAAAATTAAGATCACCATCCTCGCTTATTGTTGAACTTGAAATATCCTCCCTTCGTCTAGGACCGGAAAAAGTTCGCGATTGACATTTTCAGACGCACTGTATTAATCTAAATAAACGAACAATTGCCCCGTTTCTCAAGACTCGTATCCCGCCAATATCCAGAGATCGAATGACAGTGGTGGTCAGTCTTACAATGACGGCCATACGTTATAATAGGGATGTATATCTTGTGATCAGACGGAGCAGTTTCGTTTGTTTTGACCTAAATGCGGCACGTCCTTGACGTAAAATTTGTAAAAAAAAATCGCACACTTGTTAAAAATTAAGTTCACTTATTGCTGAACTTGAGATACCCTCCCTTCTTCTATCTTCCGAAGAAGTCTTGGCTTGAAGGACCGGAATAAGTTCGCGTTTGACTTTTTTAGACGCACGGTATTAATCTAAATCCCGCCAATATCGTGAGAGTCGAACGACAGTGTCAGTCTTACAATGACAGTCATACGCTACAATAGGGATGCATGTCTTGTGATCAGACGGAGCAGTTTCGTTTATTTGGAACAGAATGTGGCACATCTTTTGACAGTAAAAAAGGAGATTATAAAAACATCCCAGTGATTGCAAACTTTTGAAAGATATTTCCCCTTCATCCACCATCAAGGTCTGCATGAAAGATATCTTGATAATATTAGCGTTTGACTTGTATTAAAATGTACAAGAGGAAGTTTGTTGATCGCGGGATGATGTTGAAAAGGATCATAACTGCTTCATTATGTATAAACTCCCTTGTCGATCACAAGCCTATGATCAGTCATGAAATTGGTCGTGGAAAATTCGATCTTGACTTTAGAAGACATACACCAGTGCTTAGAAAATTTGATGATAACTTGTTTGTTCATCTTCATAATAATAATTTATGTTTTTTATACGACATTGAATATTTTTTTAGGAATGCTTTGCTCTCCGGAGATGTGCAGCAAACTTCGTCGAGTGCCAAGAAGAAAGCCAAACCAATACAACTTTGTTCCATCCAATGTTTTGTTAAACTTTATTAAATATATGGTTCATCAAATGTATATAAGCTTCTGCGTATAGGACCGAGAAATGTGATCGGGAATCTCCATTTTCACCGGCATGTCCGATCCTGGTGGTTTACTCTCGTTTGTCAAGTAAGATACGTAAGTCGGCGTGTAAATGCTGTTGAAATGAAGAATTATAAACAAAAACAAATATAAAATTTTCCAAACTAAAAAAACTCCAGCAACAAATAAACCAAATATAAAGCCTTTTTTACACTATATAAACGCTTCTTAATTGTTCAATACAAACATAAAAGTACACAAAACGTTAATTACAATATGTTAATGCGGGTACCGGATCATGTACTTGCTACTCGCGTTAACTAATGACTTTTTTAACAAGTATTTAACATATATTCAAATGCGCCACAAGAAGCTCACAGCTTTCAATCGGACTACATGAACATGAATTATAATTATCTGTATTAAATAGGACATGTTCCTGTCCACCTGTGCCTGTGTCGAACGTCTGGGTCCGCCAAGTTTTAGCACGGAATTAGATTATCTATGAAAATCATCAGTTGATTTTAAGATATTGTACGGTTTATTCCCTGTTATATACTGAGCACCAGTTTAAAACAATGTTTGAAGAAAAATACATGATTTATTATCATTTCAAAACAATTTTGAGAAAACTGAAGTTATGGACGATAACTCCTGTATCGCGGCGTGCATAATTTGGCGGGAAAAACAGCCGAACACAGGAACATGCAGCGTCGACTTTCGTCAACAGGTAAAACACTGATTATATTATGTTGTCTTATTGAGTATGATATCTCTATCCTTCTTTTTCCGTAGTCTTCACGTATATCTGTCCCTTCGCCCTTTACATATCATTCAGGGGCGGTTGGTGAGGAAATTAAAGGGGACTCAAAATTTCGATAAGCCCTTGCCACTTATATAATTACGTCATGAATGGATACGATTTCGACATACACTATAGAGACATGTGGATTTGTTATTATATAGCCATATTTGGACCTAAATTGAGGTGTTCTGAGTAATTGTACACACTTTAGGTGTTAATATCAATATCGGGTAAAAATGCCAACCCCAATGATGGATTTAAAAAAAAAATCAATTTTGGTCCAAATATGGCTGTAAGAAATATTCAACCTGACTCCATCTTTTCACATTTTCTCTTTCTATCACTGCCTCTTTCATTCAATATACCTGACGTCCTCTTCATCTGTTTTTTTTCTCACAATTTTCTGTCCCTCAGTTCTCCCTTCATCTTGATCTTTCTCTCTTCTCCATGTCTATCGATTGATATTCCTTCTGCCACTATCCCTCTATCCTAATGTGTTCCATTTATGTGCCCCTGTCATCAGTATCTGTATACTTCAATCTTTCCCTATCATTATCTCTGTATTCCCTAGCTTTCTCTTGTTTACTTTCAAATTCCTTCACTATCTTTCTATCCTTCAAATTCTGTTCCTTCTACTGCTTTTCTTCATTCAAGTCTTGCTATTGCTCTTTCTTCCTTTTCCTTTCTAGTGATATTCCATAATTTCACCTCCATTACATTCTCTCTCCTTCCATATTCCCTTCCTCTGTATCCATCATTCTTCCTTCACTATTTCTGTCCTTTCTTCCTTTCCTCACAGTCTCTCTTTCTGTGGATAATCTTCCTTCTGTTAATTGCTACCTCTTGATAATTACATGTTGTCTTTATCTTTCTTCCCTCAATATCTGTACTTCAACTTACCTTTCTCTATCTTAATTCCTTTGTCATCTATCCTTTGTATTTAATCCTTGCTATCTCTCTATCCTTTTGATATCCCTTTCTCTTACTGTTTTTCTTTCCCCACAACATCTCTACTTTGATATAACCTTTCCCTTGCTCTTTTTTCCTTCCTTCAACATCTATCTCCTATGATCTTCCATAATTTCTCTTGCCCAATATCTCTCTATCCTTCCATTGGCCCTTCCTCTGTTTCCATCATTCTTCCCTCACCTTTTCTGCCCTTTGTCCCTTCCTTCATGGATCATCTTCCTTCTGTTGTATCTCTTGATCCTTACATCTTGATCTCGATCGCTTCCCTCAATATCTATATACTTCAATTATTTTTTTGTATCCACATTCCCTATCGATATGTCTTTTGTTTCTCTATCCTTTAAATTTCTTACCGTCTTTCTTTCCTCAAAATATCTCTATCCTTTGATTTCATCTTTCCTTTCAATATAAACTTTTTTTAATTTTACATCACTTGTGAAACAAGTTCATTACAAGTTAAATTAATCACTATTGTTGGCCTGGATCAATGTTGGCGTGCTGGGGGTCTTAATGTGTGAGGAAACCAGTTATATATCTTGTCGCCACATCCTTTCAATTGATGTGATTATATTGTATTGTAAATGAATTTAAGTAATAAATATTGTTTAAACCAAAGTACATGGAGAAAACCCATGTGGCTGGACAGGTGAACCAATACCTTTTCACGTTTGATCAGGAAATCCCCATCCGCCTTGGTGAAAGGTGAGTGCTTTATCCACTGCGCCACCCGACCACCCACATTTCCCTTCATTCACCGTCTATCTCCTTCGATCTTCCATTTCTAGTTTGTTATTTCTACCTTGCGATCTCTGTATCCTTAAATATTCTCTTTATGTTTCAATAGTTTAATAGTTCAATATTCAAATTTTCCCTCCGTTTTTTTTGTCCCTCACTATCGTTTTCTATTTTCCTTCCCTCACTATCTGCCTTTTTTTATCTTCCCTTTGTCTTGAACTGTTTACTTTTCCTCATCTTCTTTCTCTCTTGTGTGAAGTATTTCTCTGTCCCCTTTCCCTTGGTAATGTTCACAGTGATTTTTTTACTCAGTTTTACAGCCAAATACAGGCTGTTTCCCCTAACTAAAAAGTGCCTTATTTTCCCAAAATGACCGAAACTAAGGAATATGTACCCAATTTCAATACAAATATTGCTAAACTTTCCCATTTCATAAAGGAACAGGCTGTGGTAAAATTTAGGTAACAAAATTAAATCACTGCTTCATTCCTTCACACTCTCGCGACTTTGAGCTTCCTTTTTCTGCTGTTTCCTTTCCTTACAATCTGTGTACTTTAACAATGTTTTTCTTTTTTTTTCTCCTACCATCACTGGCTGTGGTATCTCTTTCCTTTCTCTCCTATCTTTCTGACCTTCAATGATCTTTTTAATTCTTCCTTTTCCTTGCTCTATCTATCTTCTTTCACTGTGACCAATCCCATTTGATAGACATTTTACCCAGCTTGTCCTTGGCCAAATATTGTATTCTATGCCTCTTGGATATTCATAAGGTATTGTTTAAATAAATTAACAAACTTGACCCTAGTGAAAGTACATTGTAGGTCAAGGTCAGCTGTTTAAACAAACTTGATAGCCCTTCATCAAAGCATTTAAAGATAGTATTCTACATGAAATAGTTAACTCAATTGAATCAGTATTTTAAAATGTTATTAACATGTGTTAGTTTCTTTTTATAATACCTTCAATAAGGATAAATAGCATACAAATACGATGATATAAAGTAGCGTATTCATCTATTGATTGTATTGATATATATAGATTGTCCTTTTCCTAAAACTTCCTGATAGCCCCCTGGTAGTAATCATTACTTCAATATACAGTGCATTAATGTATTAATTTGAAAGATTATTTTTAATCTTAATCTTTTATTGTTTTCAGATTACAGTAATTTCAAAACAGCTGTGCACTGTAACTGGACCGATCCTGGCATGTTGGTTGAACTATCAAGGTAGTTATATAGATTTAACATTAAAGATATTTACACAGTATCAATATATGTATATTTATTACATTTATACAGGTATCTATATTTATTTAACTGTAAATATATGTATTTAATACCAAATATATGGTTCAGCTTGAATGGCAGAATATAACAATATTTTTCACTCTGATTTACACTCATGAAAAATATCAGTTTTCCACTATACTCATGAAATTTATAGAGTATTCAGTGGGAAACTATTGGATATCTCTATGTCCTGATCACAATAGTGTTTTCATCATTAATGATAGAATTGTAAAAGATGTGCATTGATAAGGTTGCCCTACAAGATGCTTGTAAGGCAACCTTATCAATGCACATCTTTAACAATTCTATCATTAATCACGATTTCTTTTCCCTAAAGCTGACACAGCTGTAGGGAATTCCCCTTTAGCTCAGTGGTAGAGTATCGGGCTGGAGAGCCAAGGGTCGCAGGTTCGAGCCCCAGTGACGGCACTATCTTTATCACTATTCTTTAGTGTTGGGAATCACTTGTAAATTCATACTCGATCATCACTTCCAATCAAGTGACTGATAATCGACTAATGATCGATCAAATTAAACTTAAATTCAGTAAATGATTAAGGTTATATTTGCTTTTTGAAATCTACATTCACTTTCGTTTCCAGGGATACCAGATGTTAGAGAATGTCGCTAATAATGCACAACATTCATACAAAAACAATACGTTTGTTGACAGAACCTTATAATTATTGAAAAATACGTATTTGGAAATGAAATTGATGATGTTTGCAATGTCTATTATGGTGTGACAGCTGCATCTCGTATTCAGATATCCCGCGATGGATTGGCATTCACCTGATGACACCCTGTCAAACTTAACTTTTATTTGTAAGATAGCCCACACTTTTAACAAAGCGCTTTATTTATATCAAGCTAAGGAGGAACAATACCTTCCAAACGTTTAAAACAGTATAGCCCCCGGATGATTCTCCGGAATGTCCTGGTTTGCCATATATTGTTACGCACTGACTGAGCCATGCAGCATTTCTATGGAAACGCAAATTCTGATTGGTTGTCGGGTGGACCAGCTAGCCAATCAATGTCGTCGTTGTGTGGGACGTTAGGTCAAGTTGTTTTGCTGAAGAACGAACAACTCGCTGTCGACGGTAATAACACTAACTATCCAAGTTTATTTTTTGTTAATACTTTAATTAGTTAAACTATAATCGATCATGGAAAACAAAGATTGATTAATCAATTTTCAGAAACAAACAACCAGACGTCGACTAAATTGATTAATCTGAACAACACTACTATTCTTGTCCTATTACAAAATAACAACAATAGTTTGACTAGAATAGTAACCCTTACTGATATTTGATTTTCTAAATATTTACATAACAATACTGGTAGGAAGCAGCTAGAGGGTCGTTTTTCAAACATTTGTGTGACTCTTACAAACGCTAAGGGCTCTTGGATATATATGCATCACCAGTGAAAAATATAGCTTTATGTGCTTTTGAAATATTGCTGGCTTGACTTGTATTATGGATAATGTTTGTTGTGATTTAGATTAATGTTACAGTACACCCAGTTATACAAATAGGTACATGTATCATAATGCTTGGTTTGGTAAGCCTTTAAAAAAATGTTTTTTTCTGGTATGAAGGTTTTGGTTCTTCATGAGGTTGAAAGAATTTTCATAAACTGTTGGTGCAAATAAATAATGTATTGGCACAGTGAATATCTGCAGAGATAAATTCATGTTTGAGCAAATCTCAGGGTTTTATGGAGTCGGGTGTCAACACCACATGCTTCCGAGATCTTCAACGTATGGAGCTGGGTTTGACCTGATTCTTTGAAGGACAAACAAAAGTTCTGCTATCTCATCTTCATCACAGTCCTGCAACAAATTGTGGTTTTCAATCCAAAAACTAGGACAATTTCTTCTCCTTAAACATTCTATAAGGGAGTCAAACAAACACAGGAAACATTCTTCAATATTTCCAATTTCCCAGAATTCCATTGGATGCTTTTCCAGTTCCCAGAATAGCACAGTTTTGAGCTGGTATGTTTTAAGGCCCTCGCAAATGTATATAAGGTGATCCTTGAGGATGATTTTCAAGGCTAGATAACCAGCCCGAGCTACTGGTGGTATGCGGCGACCAAGATAGGTCTCGCAGTGGGGGAAGGATACTAGCCATTCAAGGTCATTCTCATGACCTTGGGAAGTTTTGGATGATTTTGCAACAAGTACGTATCCACTTTCCTTAAGATGTTCCACATCTGTGGCAGATGGCCAGAAGCGAGGGCGACTGAACCATATCTGTGCACATGGTGGCCATTTTCGATGACAATGAATGCCAAACACAAGATCAGCTTCAAAGATGACAAATTTTTGGTTTTCGTTCCAATACCATGCTTGTCCTATAGGAAACATTGTCAGTTTTACCGCTGGACCTTTTGTTTCCAGTTCTATGTGAGGTGGGTGCTTAAATGGTCCGAAAATGCGTGAAGCAGGTAGGCTGTTTTCATCTACAGAGTTCACCGAGTCAAACACAGCCTTTCTGATCATGGATGATGAAAAATAAGTTCTGCCATTTATAGAAAATTCACAAAATGTCTGCCATGGGGCTACAAGAGTTTTGGACATGTTTGTATTCAGAACAATTTTAACAAATCCTGTTGCATTTGGACTATCCTCTAGGTTAAACAAAGATGGGGAAGAATCTGTTGAACTAGAATTCCTCTTGGTCGCAGATCTCAATGTCTTGGATAAATTTCCGTTCTGCAAGTTTCTGTCGTTGTATTTCATGATGACGTCGATGTCAGTACGTAGACACGAGAATGAGGTATTACAAGGGAGACAACAACAGAAGAAACGTAAGATAAACCGACACCATTGATCCCTATAACTGTTCTTCAGGTTTTTATTGGACAGTAAACTCTCACATGGCTCCAGCATCTGGTGATTAAGGGCTAAAAGGAAAAAGGAAAAACATAAAATAATCACTGTTTGTTTACTATGATTATAACATGATATATTTTTACAACAGAACTTGATGGTTAAAAACTTGAATTTGGGTGAGTTGCATACAACTAACAGGACATATCAATTCAGTTCTTTTATTTAACATAATCTATATATTCCTTGAAAACACATACATAAATTGCTGATAAAACCTTACAATAGTGTGCATATAGTCATAAAACTCGATAAGAGTCTCGCATCTGTGATCTTCAAAGGTTAAATTAATATAAATACACGGTAGGCAAAATATATTAATGTATATTTTAGAATCTTTATTTTTTTTGAAGATTCAAAATTACTTATGTTATCATTCAGATCCCACACTTCAAAGCACAATGATAACAAACTTAATAGTCCTTCAACCTAGTATGCTAATGGCAAAACATAATCACCCCATGTCTCATGATTATTCAGAAGTTGAAAGTGGGTTAAGGTTATCTATTTGAACAAAGTTGATAACTAGATGATTGACCCATTTGACATTGAAAGTGGGCAAAGGCCACTTGATAGACATTTATTTTTTCCTAGCTTGTCCTTGGCCAAATATTGTATTCTATGCCTCTTGGATATTCATAAGATATTGTTTAGAAAAATCAACAAACTTGACCATAGAGAAAGTAGGTCAAGGTCAGATATTTTAATAAAATTTGATAGCCCTTCATCAAGGATTTATCAATCATGACCCAAGGTCTCTTGGTTATTCAAAGGAATTTGAAGGTAAGTAGCTAATACACCATAAAATGTTAAACAAGGGTACAAATACTCATAAAAACCCTACAAGAGCAAAGTACATTTCCATGAAACCCTTCAAGGACACGTGTCACATATAATTCTGCATAGACAAACAAACAAAACTATATATAGAAAAATCATAGGTGCTTCGAATTCAGGTGCTTAAACGTTTAGTACATACCTATCACACTATATATGGGAAAAAAACTACACCTACCGATAAAACTACATAAAATGACCCTACAAGGGCACACATTGTGAGATTATATGCACTGGCGACCAATACTGCCATAAGTATGGGGTGTGTTTGACCCGTCTGGTAAAACGCTTCCCTCTTGTAGGGGTCAGACATAATGTCCTCTATGATCAGGTACATTTGGTGACAATACCAGCAGGCAAATATCACACAGCATGTCATCAGTGAGTACAAGATGATGACTCGCTTCTGTGACCGCTTTGTTAAACTTGTTTTAGCGTCGACCATGTTTATAAACTTGATGTGTTGGTGATTGTCTGTGTACATGCGTAAAGTCTACTTTCAGTTTGCTGAACACATACTGACTTCGTAGTCTATTTACTAAGTCACAGATGACTGGTTCCAGAGATGTTATTTTGCTACAATTCGTATTTCGCATGTTTTATGCATAAGTGTATGTCATAAACCCCTCGTTATGAAACACTCTATTAAATGACACCACTTAGGCTTGAAACAGAATAATCGGATGTCCCACTGCCATATATAACAAGGATTTAGAAAAGACTTGTGCTGTGCATTGCTTGCACTTTGTTTTATGTTTGTAAACGGTGCATGAAAGCACGAATAATTTACATAGTTGCTGTGTTGATGACCTATTGAAGCTGGGATCTCTTACTTACCGTCATAATAATATACAGGGAACAGACGAGAAAACATGTCAGGAAATATATAATCACAAAGAATAGTGTGAGAGTTTTGGGCTGATATTCCCATTGAAGCTTGAAGTGCTTCAGCGTCCTAAACTCTGGATACTTCAAAATGTCACTGATTACCGCCCAGTAATATACATAACAGCCGTAGAATACACAGCACAGAAATAGTGTGTACAGAATATACACGTTTCGTCTTGATTGTCCAAGTAAAGTCCTGGCTGCCATATTTGTGGTTGTTGTGGTGGTTGAATGGTTCTACTGACAAGCTGTATTTGTTGTACACATACACACTGTAGGTACAGACACGGACTTACTAATTGTTACATGTCAGTTAAATTTGTTATTGACTTCCCAATCAATGACCAAACTCGGGGCATTTACCTATTAGAAAGCTAAGAACATCTGATTTTATGTGAAGAACTATCAAACCCATCTTAATACGACCTGATCTGGTGAAAGGAAATGAAACCGTGAACAAATAAAACAAAACTTTATTATAGTCCTGTCCTCTTACGAAACAATAACTTGTAAATTGATTCAAGTCTGGTTTTCTAGTTTGATCATTAGTGACCTAGAGATAATAGGTAGAATATCTATATTCAGGTGAGAGCTAGGCGATGGAGTTCGACTTTTGCATGGTCTGTTGATCTATCTTTTTTTGTGTAAAAACGCCCAAACTTGAAATTTGGATCGATTTACCACAAGCAACTTATCTATTTATACATGTAATTGGTATATTGATTAGGCTCACAGAGAAATTCAAAATATAATACAAATTTTTAAATAATCCTATCTTTCCTTTCTGATAATTGTATTGGTATTTGTATGATGATGAATGAATTTGTGTGTCCATATATTTGTTTGTTTTATGGCATGTTATGTATATATTGTAACTGTAATGTATATTAATTAATGTAAAAATTTGAAGGGATTTTTTTTTTTTTTTTTGACGTGTGTAGGGAAACTGGACTGGGTATAGATTGCCAACATCCAGGTAGCTCAATTGGTAGAGCATCCATCTAGAGTTCGGAGGGTCCTGGGTTTAAATCCTGGTCTGGTCAAGCATTTTACTTTTCCTATTACAAAATAAGCGCCTGTGGCGCCAACTCTTGTTTCAAGTACTGGGTGAATGCTTGGCAAGGGGATACTCGAACCTGAGTTGTAATAGTATTGTCTTTGAGGGTGAAGGCTTAAAAAAGGAGGGAGGAATGTAGTGGAATGTACTGGACTAGGTGGATTGCTGGCGACCAGGTAGCTCAATTGGTTTGGCTTCCGTCTAGAGGTTGGAGGGATATCCCAGTTTGAATCCCAGTTTGGCAGCACATTTTCAGATCCTAGCTGATTACACATGTTCAAATTAATATTATATCTTCCCATTAAGAAATGAAAGCAAATTAAGCTTATTTAAGAAAAAAATCTACCAAAAATCCTGTTTGAAGACTACTTTAATAGAAAAAGTCAATATGTCCTTTTCCGTCTTTGCGTATTGCAGAGTTATCTTCTCTTGTGAGCAGGAATTGATTGTTACATCATGGTTTGTGTGAGAAAATTACGTCGTTTTCTCAAAAATTGATGACATTACTCTCACAAACTTATGACGTAACAATCAATACCTGCTCACAAGAGCAGATAACTCTGCAATACTAAAAGACGCAATTGCAGGGGGAGAAATATTATCAATTACCCCTATGATTCTTATATGAGTATGCAATACAGTTCCATTCAAACTTATCTCCGTTAAACCTTTTTGTATTTGCAATTGACAGAATGGCTATAAATTATGTCTACAATTGTTTACATAGAAGATATTCAACAGAGGAAAGCTCAGTTATGCTCCATTTCTGACAGAAGCACTTCTATTTGAGATGATTTGGGATCATAACAACAAGCTTGGAAATAAACAAAAAATTATCATGGATGTCTTGTCTGATTTGTCCGGAAACCAAAACTTGGTCACACACTTATTTTGACTTTACAATCAGAACAATTTAAGGTTTGTACAGGCATTGAAATGGTCCAAAGCAAAGGGTTGGCCTTTAAAAGGCTGAATATTGATAAAAAGGCCCCAAATAGCCCCTAAATTTTACAAAATTGTCTTTGAAAAGGTCAAAATGAACCTTGAATCCGACAGATGATCATATAGGTTGAACATGTATATTAATTTCAGTGGTTTTGTGTTGTTATTCACAATAATCATCAATTAAGAATATACATGAAAATGAATTATTTGTTAAGACTTTCCGAATACGGACTAATTTTCAATAATATTATTGTTGATTGTTTATATGAAGAGTTTAGCAGTATCCAGATTACACATATGCAAATGGATACAGATTTTTGGGCTTATTTCAACTGAAAGAGGGCCTAAAAAAGGCCGATAAATAGTCGTGAAATCTATTGTAGAGTGCCTGTACGCACCCTGAATATGTTTTAAGTATGAGTGATCTATGGTTGGTAGAGTGATATTAATAGTTCAGAGGTTCTTGGGTTTGATTCCCTGTCTGTATCATTACATTCAATCAGTCCTATAAGTAGGGGGAGGAAAATAAGCAATCACCCCTGTGACCCGGTCTTACATGTATATGCAACACTGTTCCATTCAAACTTGTCTCCAAGTTTCACTTCCATGCATCATGTAGGAGGCACAGTAGTCTAGTGGTCGGACGCTGGGCTCGTGACCGAAGTGTTGTGGGTTTGAGTCATGTCACCGCACTGTGTTGTATCTTGTTCCAGTCTACTGCTAGCTGTGAGCGCCAAAATGGCAGCAACAGCTGTATGCTCCCCAGGGAGTTGAAAAAGAAATTGGCTGGTTCGAAGGCCCTATTACCACAGATGATTATTTATGAACCACTTTCAGACAACCTAGGAACTAGGTTGTGATAAAGTGGTGTATAAGAACGTTAACCTTAAATTATTATAATTCTTGTTATTGTGATAAATTGAAATATGTTTGAATGGCATGATATTGCATATACATGTACCGTCAAACAGACTGAAAAGATAGCTGCATTTTAGTCCTGTAAATGAATAAATATGATATTTATGATCAGTGCAGTTCAATTTTACGCTGGATACAACATTGATGTAAATTTTAAAAGATCAATCAAGTTTGTTGGGTTGGAGATAATTAGTTTTGGCACTGTTACATCTTTTCATAGTTTTGAACATTTATGATGAGGTGGCATGGGGACAAGCAAAGGAGATGAATTAGCTATAGCACTCACAAAATCTATGATATTATTGTCTATAATATTAGACTGAAATTGGATCAATTAGAATTGACAGTTTGAAATAACTGCATATATCAGTAAAGATCAAAGAGTTGGGAGAATTGACACATACATTTTTATCATGTAAGTTACGGTAATATTTAATTTTGACACGACAACAGCAGCCGGTGTGCACGACTTGGATTGGCCCAGATATGGGACAGCACTTACACAGAAGTGGGCGTGTGTTCTGACACAGTACAATAACATGTCATTACAGAGGAACAATTACGTAATGTCAAACCAATGTGCACTGGCGTAGTAAACAATGTGTCCTTGAAAAAACCCCTGTGCTCTGGATTATAGACCCTATTGTTACTAAGCTCAGCAAGGTTTCCTTTAAAATTAAGAGTAGCTTTTTGTTTGTTCTTTGCCGTATATCAGTTATTTATTTCAATCAAAGAATGAGAAGCAGATAATGTAAAATTAAAGTTTTCAACTTCAAAATAAAAAATAAAATTTATAGCTCTCATGCAAATTTTGAAAACTCCTCTTTATAATGAAGATGCTAGCTTGGTGGTTTCAGTTGAAGACAGTGAACACAAATAAGGTGCTGCTTTGCTGCAAAATGGAAAAAGAATGAAAAAAGGGATGCATAAAAATCATTTTTAAGAATTAAAAAAAGATCATAGCTGCATTGTCAGCTTTAATATTGATGATAGCAACTAATGAAAATATCATTAAATAATATTACATGATTATCAACTGTATCCTAACCCTATCAAGAAAGAGCACTGGACCTGACTTAATACACAATACTCCATCCCAAGATACATAAGTATAGAACGTTTGGTGAACATATGTGAAAACAGTGAAATAGTAAGAAAGTTATGGTCTAGACAAGATATTACTGATGATCACGGTGTATACAAATGATCGATATTTGTAGAGACTGATAGCCAGTCTAGATTGAATGCAGTGAATATTTGATTCTGTTCTGATTTGTCAATATCAGTGATATCTTTGGCTTTTATCAAATAGATAGAATTTCTATACACAAGGGGCCGCGGTGGCCAAGTGGTTAAGGTGTCTGACCATCTATCATCACGAGCCCTCCACCACTAGGTCGTGGGTTCGAGCCCTCCACCACTAGGTCGTAGGTTCGAGGTATATGTGGGGCAGTTGCCAGGTACTGATCAAAGGATGCAGGTTTTTCTCCAGGTACTCTGGCTTTCCTCCACAAAAGAAACTGTTACATGTCCTTAAATGACCATAGCTAATAATAGGGTGTAAAACACAAACAAACCAAACAGTACCTTTCATCCAATAACAATCAATCTATTTCACACAGTCAATAAAACATCCAAACTTTAGGGCCCGTATTTATGAAAGCGATCTCATGCTCAAGCAAGGATTTTGTGCTCAAGACTAATTTCTTGTTTAAATTAATAAACAATTCTTATTTTGTCAATGATTTGGAAAAAATTTGAAGAGACTCAAAGCCAAATACTGTTTTCAATTTTCACATTTGACTTTTTGATTGTTTGAGATTATTTAAGCGAGTTACAAGAAAGTAGGTTTGAACACAGAATCCATACTTGAGTGTGAGAACAGTTTCATGAATACGGGCCCAGATAACAATATTTGTCTGAGCACAATATTTTTTCCTGAGAAAATGAAAGATACTGTCAACTGTAAGCATGGAATCATGGTATTTACAAGGCCTGTTTTAATGAA